GGAGCCGGCTAGGATTTTGTTGATGAGCTAGCGTGCAACTCTGGAAACGCCTGTGCAAATGCTGGGGTGGGGGCAGTGGGAGAGTGGGGATGAGAAGTGTGCTAGGGAGAGAGCGAGCGTGCCTAATCTGGGTACATAGAAATAAATGTAGGTTTGCCACTGTGGTCAAGAGGGAAGACTGCGAGGGGAAAGGTCAGGAATTACTCGCCAGGGTGTTAAAATGCAAATTACTGAGCAATTAGTGCGACTGGAACTAGGAAGCGGAGTTGCCCAGCCTGAGGGGGGAGGTGTGCCGCTACCAGGAAGGTGCAGCAGACTAGGGTGGGGCTCAGGGGCCCTCAGGAGCTGGAATCTGGTTTCCTCCTCCAACAGACCTATGCAGAGGCCTTTTACCGTCCAGATGAGGATAACCTCTTCTTTGGGACCTCATGATATCCCAGTACTAACCCTCAGGGGGCTTCCTCCCCCCCCCCAAGCCCTCCTGAACCCTGATCCTCAAAACAGGAGGGGGTGTGTGTTGGGAAGGGGGGGTAGGAAGCTCCCTTTTCTTGCAGACACTCTGCCTGATCTGACCAGGCCTCTTCCTGCCTGGCCTTTTTTCTGCCCGGGAACAGAAGTGGCAGTGAACCTGTCTCCTAGGGTAAATGGTTCCTGTTGCTCCCATGTTCTTGTTTTGGGAGCCAGGCAATCTATGTTTGTGACATTCAGTAGTTAAGTACATAACCCTGAGGTCATGAGCTCAGGCAGTGCTGGGGGGCGGCGGGGGGGGGGGGGGGGGGGGGGGGGGGGGGGGGGTGTCCCTGGTGGGGAGAAGAGGAAGGGCATCCTATCCAGTCTCCTGCCCCCAGTTTCCAAGCTTCCTGCAAATACACACTCAGAGAGACCAGGGTGACCCTAACCCCCAGGACCCTGCTCTATGAAGAAAGAAGAAAGTAAAGTTGATGGTGGCAAAGGAGGCAATGCCCTGCCTAGAAAGGTAAAAAGGAACCCAGTTTCCTGGTTTCAAAGGAGCCAGCCCTGCAAGGACTGTGCTTGTGTGGGATGGAGAAACGGAACCCATTGATGCAAGTACCTTCAAATGAGCAACTGAGGGGCCAGCCAGCGGCACAGCCGTGAAACGTGAAACACCTCGCTCTGCAAGGCTGACTCGGGAAGATGCGCCCTTACATCTGGAGACCACCCTGAGCACACTGGGTGTGTGAGCGTGCCCATCATCAAGGGCTGGCCGCAGCTAGAGGTGAATCACGGCACTGCCCAGGTGGGGATGCCTGTGTGTGTGTGTCTCATGGATGAAATTAATAAATAAAAATTTTAATAATAACTATCTGGGGGCCAAGAAGATAGCCTATTACCATTTCTGTCCATTGTGCAGGAAGACTTTTTACTCCTCTTTAGGGACTCAAGCTGGCACCCAGCTCTGCGGAGCCAGCCTCGCACCCATGCTTGGAAGTGCTGGTCTGTGCCCCCACAGAGCATGTAGCCCTCTCCACCCTCTGGAGAGCTAAGGTTAGCACCGTGACCTGAGAAGTTAGGGCCCAGCCTCCTTCCTCGCTCTACAGTTAAACTAGAGCCTCAGCTACCCACCCTCCTCCCCCACCGGATTTTCTTACCAGTTGCCCGGCCTTTGTTCTAGCCAGACTAGCCAGCTGCACTTTCTCTCATCTTACAAATACTCCCTAGTGACATGCAAACTCTTTTTTTTTTTTTTTTTTTAAAGACAGGGTCTTACAATGTGGCCTCAAGCTCACAGTCCTTCTGCCTCTGACTCCTTAGTACCTGGAATTAGAGACACATGCCACAGCACCCAGTTTGTACACAAAGCAGCAGGGCTTCTCAGCTCTCCCTGAGCCCCTGTGAGGTGCCCTCAGGGCTGAGCACAGGCAGCCTACAACCCTAGGACCGGCACACTCTTCCTGGGCTCCTTCACTGTCCCCTTCCACCATGCAACCCAACCCCAAATGCTAGGGCTTCTCCTCAGCCACACTGGCAAACACTGAGACCCCAGAAGGAGTAGCCACAGCTTGTTTTCCACTTTTCCTTCCTTTTGCCGGGAGCTCTGGGCTTACCTAACTAGTTTTGCCATCACTTTTTGCAGGACTATTTGAATGTGGCACAGGCCATGTGACATACAGCTGTGAATGCGACCTAACTGCACACTAGAATCAGCTGATGCACTTTAACTATCCTGATAGCCAAGCCCCACCCCAGTCAAGTCTGAA